GGCGGTGACCTGCAACGCGCAGGCGGTGGCGCCGACCATCATTGCGCAGGGGACGCCCGTCCGGCCGACGAGCATACTGGTGGTGGGCGCCACAGGGACGCTGGGGCGGCAGGTGGTCAGGAGGGCGCTGGACGAGGGCTACGACGTCAGGTGCCTCGTCAGGCCGCGCCCGGCGCCGGCAGATTTCCTCCGGGACTGGGGCGCCACTGTCGTCAATGTACGGTTACATCGGGCTGCCATTGCTACTGCACTATTCAATATGTGCAGTTGTACTTGCTTTTGCTATTGGTGGTAATTTTGTGTGCTTTGCATTGGAGCTGATTAGGCCGACCTCAGCAAGCCGGAGACCATACCTGCGACACTTGTTGGTATTCATACCGTCATTGACTGTGCGACAGGACGGCCAGAAGAGCCCATCAGGACGGTATGCTACGACCATTTCTGTGAATACAGTAACAAATGATTATGCTTCTCTGTTGTCCTGAATATTATTCTTGCATCAATGCAGTTTTGCTGGTTGTTACTCAAGCTAATTTTATTACTCTTAGTAGCGAAGAATTTCATCTAGCTGCATTGTTTGTTTTTGTAAGCATGGTTTATTGTACTAACATATATGCCATGGATCATTTGTTTAGACTTGCTGATGGTTATTCCATTTAGGTAGATTGGGAAGGAAAAGTTGCTCTAATACAGTGTGCAAAGGCTATGGGAATTCAAAAGTATGTGTTCTATTCCATCCACAACTGTGACAAGCATCCTGAGGTTCCCTTGATGGAAATCAAGTATTGTACTGAGAAGTTTATTCAGGACAGTGGTCTGGATTATATCATCATCCGTTTGTGTGGTTTCATGCAGGTAGATTTGATCCTCTCCCTGTGATTCTGAGTCTTTGGTTAGAAAACTGCTTTCTTAGTGTCAATGATCCTAGTGAAGTACAATGATGATAGGTTACAAAAGGCAGTTCCTTGCTGGTGAAACTGTACTATTAAAAGATCAAGTCGTGATATGACCTCGAGTTGATACATACTGCCATTGTCATATTTGCTTGTTTATCCAGAAATAAATTCCTGTCTAACATTGTTTGCAATAGGGTCTTATTGGGCAATATGCTGTGCCTATACTAGAAGAGAAGTCTGTCTGGGGAACTGATGCTCCAACTCGGATTGCTTACATGGATACCCAGGTTTATATTTCCCCTTGTCCATTTGAAAATGGGATCACCGATATCTTTTTGAACCTCTCCTTCAGCTTTCCTTCGACACATTCTGGTTAAATTATAGGACATAGCTCGACTAACGTTTATAGCTATGCGGAATGAGAAGGCCAACAAGAAACTCATGACTTTTGCTGGCCCACGAGCTTGGACAACTCAAGAGGTAATAAACTGCACACTGTCTTTTTGAAGGAAATTAATTATGTAGTATGTCCAGAAAAGTTTTGATCAATAAATCTATCTTCATAGATCATTAAGTTTGTATCACTGTTATCTTTCAAAATGTTATGCAGTTCATTCTGTTTGTGATGCTAGATATTGTAAATGACGCTTCCGAGAATTATGTTTATTGTTTGTATATTGTACTTCATCTTTTTTTCTTTCTTTTGCCTCTTCAGGTGATTACTTTGTGTGAGAGGTTAGCTGGGCAAGATGCCAATGTAACCACTGTCCCTGTTGCGGTATTGAGATTTACTCGTCAGTTGACACGGTTCTTCCAATGGACAAATGATGTGGCTGACAGACTGGCATTTTCAGAGGTTACCATGTTGTCCTTTCTGTTCAGTTTACATGTGTCCATATAATGGTAACTTGTATCATAGCTTGTGAAAACTAATAGAACATTTCTTTAAACCAGGTGCTCTCAAGTGACACAGTTTTCTCTGCTCCAATGAATGAGACCTACCAGCTTCTCGGGGTGGATGGGAATGACATCCTCAGCTTAGAGAAATATTTACAAGATTATTTTACCAACATTTTGAAGAAGTTAAAGGATCTCAAGGCACAATCCAAGCAAACCGACATATTCTTTTGATAAGAAGGATTTCTGTGACCTAGGGACATAATTTACAGATCTGTGCCTCAAATGACAGATGAGTGAGCACAATTTTTTCCTGTATATTTGCATTTTTGCATGTGCAAGAATGCTCTGTGCTATTAGATGATGTGTATAGAATCTTACATTTTGAGCTATCAAAGTTCCGAAGTTTGTGCAAAACAGCATAAAGTCTATGGTTTCACGTCAACTTACATTATTCTAAACTCATGGTCTCATGGGTTCTAGCATGACTGATCAAAAAGAAAAGAGAAAAAAAAGATTAGTTTTGAATTGAATGAAACAAGAATAAATTTGTTATTAATGATTCGTTCTCTACCATAAGAAATAAGCAACTTTTGTTCATTGTTGATCCATTCAAGAAGGCCTTCCTATGAACTGGAAGAGAATGAAACCATAGCAAGTTTCAAATGGCAAACACGGAACCTTACTATTTGATTTCCCCTATTTTGCTTCGATGTGACTGATTAAGTGAAGCGTCAAAAAAACTATGAGGTCCACATTTTCTTTTCTTTTGTTATCTGTTTGATGAGTTCATGTTTGTTAATTGCTCTTGTGACGGTCCAATTTGTTCGTAGCAAGAATCCTAATAATTGTTTTGCTCATCCTTTAGAGAGATTTTGATTGAATCTTTTCCTTCTTGATACATGTGATATAATCATATAGCCTGTTCTCATGCAATTATTTACAAAAAATAAGGTTTCTGCTAGGATCTGTCATGTGTTAACTATAAGTTTATACCTTGTGGTATGGATCTCTGTTGTATATTGGACCAGATCCGCTTCACAAGAATCTTGCCAATTACATTTTCCAATAAATGCCGACTCACCGAGGTAACATGTCTATTGGGAAAAAAGATCAAATAATTATACTTCATTTGACCTGTATGTCTGGAAAGAATATCTGCATACTTAATAATGAAGACATTCCTGGAGAAAATCAAACAATTCATGAAGAAGTTTGATTCTGACTGAAATATATGCATCCTTTTCAAAAATTCAAACACACAGGAGAACTGTTTGTCATTGCATTAAGAAGGAGAATAGTTTGTTACAAGGAACAGCACATGTTTTTTTAGTTACATGCACACCTGTTACAAAAGAACACACGACCAGGCCATATGCACTACCCTGCAAATGCAGTCAGGTAACTTCCCTTTGCACCTGCGAGGCTTCATAGATGGACCTCAGTCCCCAACTCTCCAGTGTCTGCAGGAGGCGCTCTACTGAGGGCGAAACATTGTTGTAGACGCAGTCATTCCTCTGCTTCCAAAATGACCAGGATCCCAATACCATCAGAGAGTTGAAGCCTTTGCATTTCTCCTTGCATGTCTGCAACTCTGCTTTGCACCACCACTCAACAAAGGTATAGGCTCTGGTGGATGATTAGCATTCATGACTGTATATTAGTATGTTCAAATTTATGCACATTTATTGTATGTTCAATGAAAATATAGAACCACAATTTTTAAGAAAATGGAAGAGAATTCCTGCCTCTGCGTGTTCACCAACATTTGATATTATAAGTATATTCAAAATGGCATACTTATTCAGTCTCTCCTGGGAATTGTAAGAGATCACCGACATGCTATTCAAAATCCTAGTGTGGTACATGTAGCAAGGCAAGTGAACACATTTTCATGTTCCAGCTATTGGCACCAATAATTAGTATGGTTGTTTAGCCTACATCTGAGCCTTGCGTACATACATGTTATATTTCTTATGTAATGGATAATGGGTTTCAGCTCTAGCCTATCCCTAATTGCTTGGGACTAAAAGGCTTATTGTTATTGTTGCCTCAACATCTCTTATATTTATCTTGGCCCGTTTTTAGAAGGTCTACCTGTGAGCTGAAGTTTTCTTTTTTCAAACATGCTGGAGAGCCATGTACGATTATACTCTCTCCGTTCCAAATTGTAAGGTCGCTTTGGCTTTTCTAGGTACATTACTTTTTGCTATGCACCTAGATATATACATTATTTCTAGATACATAATAGAAACTAGGATTCTAGAAAAGTTTAAACGACTTACAATTTGGAACGGAGGGGGTATTAAAGAAGAAGAATAACAAGGCCACAAGGGTAATAACCTGTACAAACACCCACACACACCTATTCCATGAACTGGAAATGGTCTTGGTATCTGTTATGAACAGGAAGAAAATTAGGCCATAGCCAGTTTCCAATAGCAAACACAATGCCCTACTATTTGGCCTCCTGATTTGTTTTCTGCTTATTCATCAGATTTTTTGTCATGTCATTTTTCATTGAAATGTTGAACAGAGCCATGAGCTTTGTATGTTCATTTCTTGCTTTACTGCAGAAAAGAATCCAAATTAGTGTGTAGCTTATTACTTGTGAACTTTTAATGGAATCTATTTCTTTTGTGATACATGTGATGCAGCCTGTTTTCAGGAAATTATTGACAGATTGGTTGTCTGTTAGATCAGCTGTGTGCTAACTATAAGTTTATATGCCTTTCATGGTGGAGCTGGTGTATCCATGTGTAAGGTCAGATCCACCTCAAAATGGTGTTGAAATTACATTGTGAAACAGATGATGAGACAACATGCCTATTTGAAAAATCAAATAATTATGCTACACTCTATTAGAATATTTGCTTTTTGCTCACAATAGTATATGTTCAGTTTTTTATTTGTAAACAAAAATACATCCTCCTTTTGTTTTTGTTTGCGTATTACAAATGTATAATGTTCAGGTTCATCATTGAACACATGCACCTTTTGGCCATGGAGAAGGTAAAAATCACTTCCTTGATACCATTGAAATTGAAGCATGCCTGAAGTACTAGGTTGATGACGTGAACTGAACCAAAATTTTGTTTTCCATTGAGCTATTTTATGTATATTTGTGCTATACAAATGGTAAGTACATAGCGACTGGCAGATCCTTTAAAAGGCGGATAACAATCGCAGATGTCAAGAGTGTCTAAGCTAGAGGATCGAGCTAAACATGTTCAGGAGTGTGACCCTGCTCTGGACTAATCTCCTGAACAGAAGTCCTGCTCCATCCTCGATATCTCTGATGTTACACTCTAACACCTGCAACTGCTCCTCACAGATAACTGAAGTTTTCTTCTGGAACGCCTTCAAGATAATAGATGATTTGGGCATTGCAATTTGCTTGGCTAGGAGATGCACTGTTGACTCAAGAAGAGAGGTAGTGATCTCTCTAGCCTCGCTCAACAGCCGCAAGATCCTGCAGTCTTCATAAAAGGTAACCTTCTTTGCAGCCTTCTTGAAATGTTTCTTTGCCTTCTTCACCAAGCGGAAGTAACACTGGATCTTGGCCTGAATTGCTGCATCATCTGCTTTTCTGAGAGAGACTTGCAGATCTTGGACGATGGCCTTCAACTCGGTGAAGTCCTCATGCATGACGTTGCAGAGGTCCAATAGCTCAAGAGAGCGTTCCATCTCTCCATCCAACATTTTCCTCTGTTGTGAGGAGCAAACTTGGTTGCTAGGCAGGCACATAATCTCCTCAATGGAGTTGTAGATGTCTCCAAGCCTCCTTAGACCATTGGAGATTGTCTCGATGGTCATCGAGGGCGAAGAGGTGCATGCCTCAAGGATTTGCAGCTCCTCCTCAACTTTGGAGGCAGGCCTAGAAGGTAGACTGATTGATCTTTGGTGGCAAGCCATGGCTGTTGCTGGGCTCTTTTATGTTTGTTGGCTGTGGAGATGAGAAGTGAGATAGCAGATGTTGGGTTGAATGTTTCTGGCCTTCAGCTGAGGCCTATTTATACCCAAGAAGCATGCGAGGTGGCATCATGTTGATGGTGAATGAACATAGTTCTTCCTTTTTATTTTCCAGATGCTTTCTAACTACTATGGTTTGAAACCTGGAAGGTGGCTACAGCACATGGAGTTTGTTATATGACTCAGGCTTAGTTCTGGTTTTTTAATTTCAATAGCTGTCCTCCCAATGAGCTATCACATTGCCATGTTCCAGCTATTGGCGGCAATAATCAACAGGTTAGTCAAGCTCAACTGGTGGATCTTGACATAATTGCACGCTCGAGCTCATTTTAGTGGATTGCTAACCAATTATTATTGGTGACAAGCATGTTATGGAGCGAGTGTGCAATTCTTAATTTGTAAAGATGCTTTATTCAGCGGGATTCATGCTACTTACACGCTCAACCTCGTGTGTTGGAGCTGACTTGTTTTAGATGTGGGAAGCAAGATCCACCGCACGAGGATCCTTTGCTTGTTGCTTGGACAACACATGGCATCTACATAACATGCACATCTCTACTGAAGCATTACACAAAATAACTTCTTTAAGCGTCAATAATGACGAGCGTCTTTTGAGTATTCTAAAAAAATAACATAATTAAACTGTTAAAACTTGACAATAGTACTTTTTTGAGGGAATCCATAAACAGTAAAATCGGTAATAGTAGATTGACCAAAACTGTGACCTTTTCAGTAGTTTTCTGTACAGTTGCTCATTTACAGGTATGCTACAAAATTATGATCAATCGCAAGGGATTGGGGCTGGTACACAATCTATCTACAAACTGAGAGTGTTGAGGAGAGAGACTCTGCTCTGGATCAATTTCCTGAACAAAGTCTCGACTATGCTCTCAAGATCTACAATGACCAACTCTGTCTCTTGCAATTTTTCCTCACAAACAACTCTTCTTTTCTTGACTGCCTTGGAGACAAGGGACCATTTGCTGGAACTTGAGATGGCATGGCAATTTGTTTCGATAGAAGATATGACAAGGATTCTAGCATGGAGATCGCAATCTCCCTGGCTTCAGCCAAATGCTTGACCACCCTGCAGCTGTCCTGATCAACTGAAGTAGGCTTCTTGCTGATCTTCTTGAACTGTTTATGCGCTTTCTTGGCCAAGCGGACGTAAGATTGGATCCTAGCTTGAAGGGTCGAGTCATCTCCTCTCTTGATAGCCAGCTGCATCTCCTGGATGTTGATCTTGATCTCTGAAAAGTTCTCTTGCATGGTGTTGCAGAGATCGAGCAAGACAAGGGAGAGCTCAACCTCTTGCTCTACCATTTTCCTCTGCTGTAATCGGCACAGGCTAGCCTGGCTACTGGGTGAGCAAATTGTCTGCTCAATGTTGTTGTACACTTCTCCAAGCCTCTTGATACCATCGACAATTGTCTCGATGGTAGCAGAAGAGATGGTTTCCTTGAGGCTCTGCAGCTGTTCTTCGATGTCGATTGCTTCAGATCGAAGACTGGAAGGCAAACTCGTGGATCTGATAATGGAAGCCATGGCTGGAACTGGAGGTGAAGAGAATGGAGAGAAATTGATCCGCAATGGTGTCGACCAGGTATATGGTTTCCCAGTATATATAACCAAAGAAGCTGAAGCGATGGTGTTGTGGACCCTACCGACAAGAAAAGAATATCTCTGGTGATGAAGTGCTGGGCTGTTGCGACTTAGCCACTAGTCTCCACTGCAGGTTGATGCTTTCTGTATGTTCAACCTGAGCAAGAGGAATCTCTGAAGGTGGCTTGATGAAGCTCTCATAGTGCTATGTCCCAGTTATAAGCAGCAGGTATTCTGTTGTTTATATTGAGATCTAGATCATGAGATCGGTGAGCGTGCAAGGAAACTGAGGGAAAGAATGGTTGACTTGCTAGCTTCACCCACAGTTGCTGCCTTGTTGCCTGGTTGTTTCTCATGCTGGCAGGAGGAATCGGCAAGGCAGCTCAGCTTTCGTGATGTGTGATAGCAATTGGCTGGAGCTGGCATGTATGCTAGTCGGTTTGGGGAGCAAGATCCACTCTGCAAGCATCTTTTGCTTGTTGTTTAGCAGGCACATCTCATGTGAGTGACTACCATGGCTGTCTTGATTCTGGCTGCTGCACAACAAATACAACCATTTTTTTTCTGATAATATTTATTTGAATTTGGAATAGCAAACAAAAATGTGTTATCTAGCATACTCACACATTTCATGCATAAGCAGTGATGTGGACACCTTTTTCTCACTTGAATATTTTTGTGTACATTTATATCTCATAAATACATAAAAAGGGCTCGTGATACTAGTGATCATGAAAGGAAATTTGAGCGAGCTGTCTCTTCGGCAGTTGATGCTTCTTGCGAGGAACGCTTGCTTCATTTCTGCAGGCTCCGAAGCTCCTTGCATCGTTGTCATGTTCCCTGCTGTTTACAACATTTAGAATCTGGGTTTTACAATCCCGAGACTGACTCATGTACTGTTCAATTTTGTAATGCGTTATGCCTAACTGAATCACATTGCCATGTTGTAAGTACTGTCAGCAAGAATAAGCATGGAGCTTACTCTATGTGCTCTACATGTTACTGCATCTGATTTTTGAATTATTATCAACTGCAGGCTCAAACCTCATGGCTGGAGCTGGCAAGCTATCACTTAGAGAGAGCATGATCCACTTTACAAGGATCTTCTGCCTGCTGTTGAGCAACATCTTATATGCAGTTCTTAGCTGTGACTGAACCACTACCATTTTTTTTCATGACACCAGAAATGAAGTTTACTATTTTCTGTACAAGAAAAAGGAAACAGCAGAAAAACTGACAGCATGAGATGGATCGGCTTTTCTCATCGAGTATATCTATGTACATTTCCTCATAATATAGATCAAAAAATTGTTTTCATGATTAGCTAATCCTCTAAAAGTCGGATGCTAATCACTAGGAATCACAGTTGGTGTATGATCTACAAGCAAAGAGCATTCAGAAGAGAAACCCTGCTCTGGATCAGTATCCTGAACAAAGTCTCAACTCCACTCTCAAGATCAACAATGTCCAACTCCAACGCCTGCAATTGCTCCTCCTCACACACAACTCTTCTCTTCTGGAACGTCTTGGAGATGAGAAACCACTTGCTGGGACTTGGTACCGCAATTTGTTTCAACAAGAGTTGGGATGAAGATTCCAGCATCAAGACGGCAGTCTCCCTGGCTTCAGACATCATCTTGATCAGTTTGCAGCTTTCCTGATCAGCTGCTGCAGACTTCTTGCTGATATTCTTGAACTGCTTTTGTGTCTTCTTCGCTATACAGATGTAAGACTGGATCTTGGTCTGAACAGCTGCATTATCTCCTCTCTTGAGAGCCAGCTGCATGTCCAGGATGCTTTCCTTGAGCTCAGAGAAGCTCTCTTGCATCGTGTTGCAAAGGTCGAGCAAGACAAGCGAGCTCTCAAGCTCTTGCTCCACTGATTTCCTCTGCTTTGGAACTTGGCTGCTAGGTAAGCGCACAAGCTCGCTGATGTAGTTGTAAATTTCTCCAAGCTTTCTCAAACCATCGCACACAGTTCCCATGGTGGCAGAAGATGAGGAGATGGTTGTGTTCAAGCTCTGGAGCTGTTCATCAACGTTGATGTCATTGGAGCGAGGGCTGGAAGGCACGCTAGCTGATCTGAGGTGGAAGGCCATGGCTTCAATGGAAGCTGAAGTGCTCTCTTTTCCTCTACAAATGGAAAAGAAGAGAGCAGAAAGGAAACTGCTGAAATGTTGTCGACCTGCCATGGTTGTCCTCTATATATAATGAAAAAGCTGAAGAAGTGGCATCGCTGACCTTGTAGACAGCAAGAATCCTATTGGTGACGAGGTGCCATGTTGAGCTTGTGTCCAGCATGGTATGTCTAGATAACCGGAAGCAAAATCACCTGCACGATTGTGTAGTTCAATGTTTGATTCAGATCGTGTGAAGAGAGGATAGCTTGATGCTGCATGCAGAAGCAACATTTGAATTCGATGTTCATGATTATTCTTCATGTCTCCTCGCAATGCTGGCATGTTTCTCCTGCCTGCTGTGCTGTCAGCATTTAGAATAATCTCTGAAATCGGTGATTGCAAGATGATCAACGTGCCATCCAAATTTCTTGAGCATTTGGTGTAACCGTGTAAGTGATCAATCGCACTGTCATGTTCCAACTATTAGCAGCAAGAATCAGCATGGCAGCTTACTCTAGTGCTGATAAATTATTGGTTGCGAACGAACTTAAACTTCATGGCTGGGGCTGGCAAGTTATTGGTTAAAGAGAGCAAGATCCACTTTGCAAGGATCTTGTGCCTGTTGTTGAGGCACATCCCATGTGAATATAAACGTGGGCATCTCATCAACTAATTTCTTTGATGATACCAAACGTGAAGAGCATCTTCTGAATATATATTTTTTTCGAACTAAACTTCAGTTGAAGCTCCCAATTTCAGGTGATTTGTTTTATGCTTTCCATGTCAAGCTATGAAAAGAAATAGAGTAGCGGACAGTTTGGGAACATGATATGGATCAAAATCTTGTTCTTTCATCAACTATTTTTCTGTACACTTTGTCTCAATATATACATCAAAATTGTTCTGGTGATCAGCCAATCCTCTAAAAGGTGGATGCTAATCGCAGGCTATCGGAGTTAGTTGGTTGCTGCATGACCCTTCTACAGGCTAAGAGCATTCAGAAGAGAGACCCTGCATTGGATCAGTCTCCTGAAGACAACCTGAACATCGCTCTCAAGGTCAACAATCTCCAACTCCAACGCTTGCAATTGCTCCTCCCTGCACGCGACTCTTTTCTTCTGGAATGCCTTGGAGACAAGAGACCACTTGGTGGCGCTCGGCGTCACGATCTCCCTTGATAGGAGATACAACGCCGATTCCAGCATCGACAGAGCGACCTCTCTCGCTTCAGACAACAGCTTGACCACCCTGCGGCTTTCGGTGTCATCAAGGGCAACCTTGCTGCTGGTCTTCTTGAACTGCTTCTGCGCCTTCTTGGCCAAGCGGGCGTAAGCCTGAGCCTTGGCCTAGACAGCCACATCGTCTCCTCTCTTCAGACCCAGTAGCATCTCCTGGGAGATCACCCTGAGCTCGGCCAAGCTTTCTTGTATGGCGCTGCAGAGGTCGAGCAGAACAAGAGAGCGCTCGAGCTCCTCCTCCACTGCTTTCCTCTGCTGGCATTGGCTGCTAGTGTTGGGCAAGCATGCGAGCTCGTCAATGCAGCTGTAGATGCTCTCAAGCCTGGACAGGCCACCAACGATGGTTTGGACTGTCGTGGAGGTTGAAGAGATGGTCGCCTTCAGGCTCTGGAGCTGTTCCTCCACGTTGGTTTTGTTGGAGCGAGGGCTTGAGGGCACACTCGCGGATCTCAGGTGGCAGGCCATGCTTGGAAATGGGATGGGACAAGCTACGAAGCCTCTTCTTGCTGGAGGATGGAAGAGAAGCCAAGCTGCTGCAATGGTGTCTTCCCAGCTCTGGGTTCCCTCTTTATATAGGGAGGATTCAATTCATTGGTCATGCTAGGAGCCTGGATGCTTTGGAAGGAGAGAAATGATATTGTGTTCAATGGTGCCTCGCCTAGGATAGAGCGGGTGCTTCTCCTTGCACAAGAAGAAGCCGCTCTCTGGAGGTTGGCAGGCGCTAAAGGCATTAGTGAACTGGTCGCTGCTCGACCTGGGGTTTAGCAGCACCTGTTGAGGGAGGTCGATTTTTTACAGTTTTAACAGGCGCGCATGTAACCTAGAGACGGTGTGTAAAGTTGGGGTGTGTGCTGTTGTATGGCTATATGAGCCTTTTATCCCCTTTCTTAATGCAATGATACGCAGCTCTCCAGCGTATTTCAGAAAAAAAAAAAGAAGTTGATGCAACTGCACAGCTGAAATAAGCAGACAGCAAGAACCATTATTTCTCAAGGGGCATCACTAGTTGAGCTTGATTACGAGGCTGTCTGCTGTCATGTCCTGCATTATGGGTGGCAAAATGAGCAGCACGGGTGAAGGGGCATTGAATTAGCATCAGATTCAATCTTGTGATCCGTTAACTAACATGCAAGTTGCCGGTGGAAGCATGGACAGCTATTTGACTTCGCTCACCTCCAGGCTCCCAAACCGTGTTTAATCATCTGATTCTAGACCCATTAGGTGCAGCTCCTGAATAATTAGCTTATTATCGCACTGTCATGTTGCAAGTACCGGCAGCAAAGGATCTTTTCTAGCTCATAATATGTGCACGCTTTGCCAGAGATATCCATCGACATCGTGAGAGAATAGATGTATCAATTTTATAAGGGCAGAACAACAGAAAAGATTCCCTATTTCGTTCACAGTGGTTTCAGAGGCAAAGGGACTCACAAGTTAATATTTCCTGAATTTACATTTTATTTCTAATGCCTCACCAATGCCGGATATTTCACTCCGACAGAAGTTTACCTTCAGTCCAAAACATTTGTTAGAACAAGGATAAAAGGGGTATTTGTAGCCCCCTCCAAATCATTTTGCACAAGAAAAATAGTATGGTAATAAAGAGTTGCATTGGATGTTTCAATAACTGGCAGCAAAACCATCTGCACGGGTGCATAGTTTAGTGCAAGGTTCAGATCATGAGATGGAGAGCAAAGCTGTGCAATTAGAACAGCTGTTGGCTAGGCTGGTTGATGCATGCTAGTGGAAGGAAAAGTTGACTACAGCGTTCTTGATACTCATGACACGCTGCTTTGTTTCTCCTGCCTGCTGTGCGTTAAGCATTTAGAATCTGAACCCTGCAATATCAAGATGTCCACATGCCGTCCAAATTTCTTTATGCATTGGCACCTTACCGAATGCTGAACAACTATTAATTGCAAGTGCAAATCTCATGGCTAGAGTTGGCATGCTATCAGTTAAGGGAGCAAGATCCACTTCATTAGGATCTTATGTCTATTGTTAGTATTAACAGGCCAATAATGGACCAATAATCATGAGCACCTTATGATAATTTATTTTCCTGAAGAAACTTCAACTGCAGCACTCCCATTTCATTGATTGTTTTTTTTATTTAGCTGTCCTCCATGTTGAACGATGAGACGAAAGAGGGAAAAAAATTGACAGCAGGAAAATGGACCCAAAACTTTGCTTTCCAGTTGAGTATATTTCTGTACACTCTCTCATATATATATACATCAAAATTGTTTCGATGATCAGCAGATCCTCTAAAATAAGGATGCTAATGGCAGGGGTTAGAGATGGTGTATGATCTATCTACAAAGTGAGAGTGTTCAGAAGAGAAACTCTGCTCTGGATCAGTGTCCTGAACAAAGTGGCAACTCCACTCTCAAGATCAGAAATGTCTAACTCCAACGCCTGCAATTGCTCCTCCTTGCACAAGACTTTCTTCTTCTCAAATGCCTTGGACACAAGAGACCACTTGCTAGCACTGGGCATCGCGATCTTCTTTGAGGGGAGATGTGATGTCGATTCGAGCATCGACACAGTGATCTCCCTTGCTTCAGCCTGTTAGATGTATAGGAGGTATATGTGTTTTCCCTCTACTTGGAGGGCTTATTTGTATATGTACATTGTGTATACTAGCCCTCTTGGGCCTTGCAATACAGTTGGTTGGCCTTGTTCTACTTCTAACATGGTATCAAGCTAGGTTTCCACCCTTACCTTCTTCTTTGAGCAACGCAAGCGATTTCTTAACCAACCCATGGCCTCGCATCCCACCCTCTCGCTGCTCCGCCTGCCATCCGACCGCATCGATGCAGCTGCCTGTCATGAACCTCTGGCGCAAGGAGAACCGCGCCTCCGGCTTATGCAGCGCCATTGCATTGGCCGGCCGCGCTCGCTGCATGTGGTCTCTGCACGCCACCGCGCCGCCCTCCCGCGCCACCGCACCGCCCTCTGCTCCCGCTCCCTCCCGAGCGGCCCTCCGAGCCCTGCTCCCTCCCGAGCGGCCCTGCGAGCTGGACGCCTCCACCTGCATGCGCGGCTCGTCTCCCGTGCAGTTGCTCTGCTGCCACTCTCATCTCAACTCTTTCTGTCTCCCTCTCCTCTCTTCGTCCGCGCCTGTATAGCGAGCCGTCGGTCTTGTGCCAGTGAGTCGGTCGGTCCTCCTCTCCTCTTTAAAAAAAAGAGGCTCGTTCTCTCCTCCATGGCGTCTCCTGGACGTCCTGGCCATGTTCTGGTCCCTCGGTGCCCTGTCATTTTCAATGGCACTAATTGGAGCGATTTTGTTTTCCATATGGAGGTCCACATGGATGGGCAGCTGCTGTGGGGCTACCTCACGGGTGAGCGGATCTATCCTTCCCGTCCTCTTCTTCCCACGCCGCCCACATACCCGCCAGATGCTGATGATGATGCCAAGAATGCTTTACTTGAGGCATTTGAGGTTGAGATGGAGATCTACCAGTCTGATCTCGGTGTCTATGAGACTTGGCTGCGCGAGGAAAAATCTGCTAAGGCTATCTTACTTGCGAGCATGGAGGTCGGTCTCTCGTTATCCCTTAGAGGTCTTGCCACTTCACACCTTATGTGGGCTCACCTCCGTCGCAGTTATGAGATTCGTAACGAAGCGATGTACCTTGTTGTTGAGGAGGCTCAGTCGCTTCGTCAGCTTGACTCCACAGTGGAGGACTTCCACCGTCAGATGATGGTATGCGGCATCGCTGGACAGTTTGGGCTTTGAGTTCTGCGGTGGTGGTAGTACTTAGGTCTTGTGACAATCACCGGGACCAGAGAGACATTCTTCGCCTTCACGAGTTTCTCTCTCGGCCCGTCCTGAGTTCGAGGCCCTGTTTCGAACACGATTTGCGGACTCGTCGTCGCGCTTATCGCTCTCGAGGCGATGCACGAAGTTCTGGTGAGGAGACACGTCTTCGTCTTTGGGGGTGTGACTCGTGTTCGCTTGCAGACCCTCCGTCCTAGCAGCCACACCTCCCTGTGTCTCTCCGCCTCCGTCTCGGCCCCCTCTCCTGTGGTGACGGGGCACCTTCTCAGTATTCAAAGTGTGGCTCTTGCAAGATCTATGGTCATGAGAAGAAGGATTGTCGCAAGAAAGAAGTATGACCGATCAGGCGTCGTGGCGGGCGCTCTTTCGAGGGCTCTGGTGGTTCCTCTACTTCACAGAGCACTCGTTCCGTGTCTGCTGCCGGAGCAGGAGGTTCTTGCCTGTTTGCCGCCTCACCATCGCAGGCTCGGGCCTCCGGTCACGGGACTACAACTCGAGCTTCTAGTTCCACTCCTCCTCGTCGGTATATCATCCCCATGGTTCCTCGACTCTGGTGCCTCTTTTCATATGACACCTCATGCAACACACTTATCCTCTCTATCTTCCCCGATCCACCTATTTCTGCTTACTTTTGCATGATGGCACTTCTCTTCTGTTCTTTGGGAGAGGTGTTCTTTCGACCTCTTCGTTTAATATTCCTCTTTGTTTGCATGTTCCCAAACTCACTATGCAACTCTTGTCTGCGGGTCAAATCACTGATCATGGTTGTCGCATAATCCTTGAGTCTGATTCTTATTGTGTTCAGGATCTCCGTACGGGCCTCTTGGTGGGAACTGGGCCTAGGTGTCGGGACTCCCAACGCCTCTGGGAGCTTGATTGGTTGCGTCTTCCTTCACCCGTTTTGGCTCCCACATCACCCAGTTCTCCAGCATCCGTGTCAATTTCGCCGTCTACCACTTCTTTTTTCTTGTGAGTGGCATCGTCGTCTTGGCCACCTCTCTGGTTCTAGATTGTCCATCCTTGTTGGTAGTGGTGTTTTAGGTCCTGTTTCTGGTGACACTACTCTTCATTGTACGGGTTGTAAACTTGGCAAACAGTTGCAACTCCCCTACCCTTCTAGTGAGTCTAAGTCCCAGAAACCTTTTAATCTTGTTCACTCTGATGTATGGGGTACTGCACCTTTTGTTTCAAAAGGGGGTCAATCATATTATGTTATTTTCATTGATGACTATTCGAGATTTACGGATTTATTTGATGTCTTTCGTGGTCAATTTCTTTCTATTTACTACAATTTGCCACCATGATCCGTGCCAGTTCAACTCTCTCATTCGAGTTTTTCATGCGGATTCTTTGGTGAGTACATCTCCACTGCTCATCGTTCCTACCTTGCTGAGCAGGGTACGCTTGCCCAATTTTCATGTCCTGGTGCTCATGCTCAAAATGGTGTTGCTGAGCGCAAGCATCGCCACACTCTTGAGACTGCTCGTGCTCTCTTGATCTCTTCTATGCTTGCTCCTCATTTTTGGGCTAAGGCGGTTTCTACAACTGTTTTTCTTATAAATCACCAACCCTCTACTTATCTTCGGGGTTGCACTCCCTATGGGCGTCTTTTCGGCACCCCTCCTTTCTATAACCATCTTCGTTATTTTGGGTGTCTGTTACGTCCTACTTCCACCTCGTGAGCGCACAAAACTCACTGCTCAGTCTGTTGAGTGTGTTTTTCTTGGGTACAGTACGGAACATAAGGGTTATCGCTGCTATGACCCTGTTGCTCGTCGGATGAGGATTTCTCGGGATGTCACCTTCGATGAATCCCGGCCTTACTATCCTCGTTCCCCTTCCGGTTCTTCTAGTACCACTGAGTCCCTCTCATTCCTCACTTTACCTGAGTGGTATCTTCCGTTGTCGTCTCCATCCTCTTCGCCCCCTCAGGTATCTTTTACTCCGCCTCCACCACCACCACCACCTACTTCTCCACCTTCACCACCTCCTTCTACCTCTCCACCACTAGTCTCTCCTCCACTATCATCGTTGCGTCCTTCCCGTGAGATCACTCACTACTACACTCGTCGTCCGCGCCCGGCGCCACCACTTGATTCTTCTTCGTCCGTCCTTGGACCTCCTCCCGAGTTTCCTCCTCGTTATTCTCTTCGTGATCGCAGCACCCTTTGTCGTCCCGATCGCCTTGGCTTCACTGCTGCCGTCTTGGCTGAGCCCGCGACCTATCGGGAAGCTGCCGTTCACCAGGAGTGGCAACATGCTATGGCTGAGGAGATTGCTGCCCTAGAACGTACTAGCACCTGGGATCTTGTTCCTTTGCCACCTCACGTCACCCCTATCACTTGCAAGTGGGTGTACAAGGTAAAGACCCGCTCGGATGGCTCTCTTGAGCGCTACAAGGCTCGTCTTGTGGCGCGCGGCTTCCAACAGGAGCAAGGTCGTGACTATGAGGAGACCTTCGCTCCTGTCGCGCACATGACTACTGTTCGCACTCTTCTTGCAGTTGCTTCTGTTCGTCAGTGGTCGATATCCCAGTTGGATGTCAAGAATGCCTTCCTCAATGGCGAGCTGCGAGAGGAAGTCTATATGCAGCCACCTCCAGGATACTCTGTTCCTGATGGCCTGGTTTGTCGGTTGTGTCGTTCTCTCTACGGCCTCAAGCAAGCTCCTCGGGCCTGGTTTGAGCGTTTCTCCTCTGTTGTCATCGATGTTGGTTTTACGCCAAGTGATCACGATCCTGCTCTTTTTGTTCACACTTCCCCTCGTGGTCGCACCCTTCTTCTTCTCTATGTCGATGACATGATCATCACGGGCGATGATTCCCAGTACATTGATTTTGTGAAGCAGCGTCTCAGTGAGACATTCCTTATGTCTGATTTGGGTCCCCTTCGTTACTTCCTTGGTCTTGAGGTCACCTCCATATCTGATGGTATTTTTCTCTCTCAGGAGAAGTAGACTCAGGACATTCTTTCCCGTGCTGCTCTCACTGATCACCGCACTGTTGATACTCCTATGGAGCTTGGTGTTCACCTACGACCCACTGATGGTGTACCACTTGCTGATCCTACTCGCTATCGTCAGCTTGTTGGGAGTCTTGTCTACCTTGGGATCACTCGTCCTGACATTTCTCACTCTGTGCATATCTTGAGTCAGTTTGTCTCAGCTCCTACCCAGCTCCACTATGCTCACCTCCTTCGTGTTCTGCGATACCTTCGTGGAACTATCTCTCGGCGCCTTTTCTTCTCTCGTTCTAGTTCTCTTCAGCTTTAGGCGTATTCTGATGCGACCTGGGCGAGTGATCATTATGATCGCTACTCTCTCTCTCTGCCTATTGTGTTTTCCTTGGCTCCTCCTTGATTGCCTGGAAAACCAAGAAGCAGACTGCAGTTTTTCGCTCGAGTGCTGAGGCTGAGCTGCGTGCTATGGCGACTGTGACTGCGGAGGTGACATGGCTACGATGGCTTCTTGAGGATTTTGGTGTTCCTGCCACTGCACCCACTCCTCTCTCTTCTGACAGCACCGGTGCGATCAGTATTGCTCGAGACCCAGTCAAGCATGAGCTCACCAAACACATTGGCGTTGATGCTTCCTACATGAGATCGCAGGTGCATGATCTGGTTGTGACGCTCCACCATGTGCCTTCAGAGGTTCAGTTAGCTGATTTCTTCACCAAGGCACAGACCCGGGTTCATCATAGTTTTCTACTCTCCAAACTCAGTGTCGTAGATCCACCATGAGTTTGAGGGGGGATGTTAGATGTATAGGAGGTATATGTGTTTTCCCTCTACTTGGAGGGCTTATTTGCATATGTACATTGTGTATACTAGCACTCTTGGACCTTGCAATATAGTTGGTTGGCCTCATTCTACTTCTAACACAGCCAACAACATGACTACCCTGCATCCTTCAATGTCAGAAGCAGCCTTGCTGTTGATCTTCTTGAACTGCTTCTGTGCCTTCTTGGTCAAGCGGGCGTAAGACTGAACCTTGGCCTGAAGAGCCACGTGGTCTCCCCTCTTGAGAACCAGCTGCATCTCCTGGACGCTGACCTTGAGCTCTGCAAAGTTCTCTTGCATGGCGTTGCAGAGGTCAAGCAGGACAAGGGAGCGCTCGAGTTCCTCCTCCACTGCCTTCCTCTGCTGACGTTGGTTGCTGGGCAAGGATGTGAGCTCGTCAATGCAGCTGTAGACGCTCACGATCTTGTTGAGACCATCAACCATGGTTTCAATGGCCACTGAAGGTGAGGAGATGGTTGCCTTCAGGCTCTGCAGCTGTTCATCGATGTTGGCTTTGTTAGAGCGAGGGCTGGAAGGCACGCTCGCGGATCTAAGGTGGCAAGCCATGATTTGAATGGAGGCTGAAGCTGTGAAGCTTCTTTTTTCTTGAAATGTAGAAGAGAAGGCAAGCTGCTGCAATGGTGGTCTTCCGGGCTTTGGCTTTCCTCTTTATATAGCGAAAGAGGTGGAAGCAACAGCATAGCTGAACCAGCAGACAGCAAGAATCATTCTCATATGTAACCAAGTGGTGAACTGCAACGGAAGGCACAAAACCCAAGAAGTATCACAATTCACAAACTTAGCTTGATTAGGAGGCTGTCATGTCTGCAATATGGGCGGCAAACTCACCTGCATGGTTGAAGGGCAGCAAGATGAGCATCTGATCCAGATCATGAGATGATTGATTAACAGGCAAGTTGCCACTGTAGGAAGCTACAACTAGATGCCTCTGGTCGCCTCAAGCACCGGGTTCCCAAGCTAGTTGCATTTAATCACCTGATTCCAATATAATCACATCATTACACGGTGGGTTTTTGAAGATAGTGGTAGCCCTGTAGTCATGTCTCTGATCTCCATTGCTTGTGCACTAGCAGCGTATATGCTTGACCAGCAGACAGCAAGAATCATTCTCATGTGTAACCAAGTGGTGAACGCCACCAAACCCAAGAAGCATCACAAACTTAGCTTGATTAGGAGGCTTTCATGTCTGCAATATGGCGGCAAACTTGCCTGCACGGTTGAAGGGCAGCAAGATAAGCATGTGATCCTCCAGATCATGAGATGATTGATTAACAGGCAACTTGCCACTGGAGGAAGGAGCAGCTAGATGCCTTTGCTTGCCTCCAACCCCAGGTTCCCAACTAGTTGCATTTAATCACCCCTATACAATATAATCATGTCATTACACGGTTGATTTGTGAAGATAGTGATAGTCCTGCTGTCATGTCTCGGCTCTTCATTGCTTGTGCACTAGCAATGTATATGCTTGACCATCCTCGTGTTTCTGCAATTTTTGTGAATAATTAGCATAGCCTTGCATTTACCTGAATAGGTCAGGACACTTACAAAAAAGCTGTATGCACTATTTCGCTATGAATCAATAATGCATCTTCTGCCCAAGCATGTTGCGAATGAAAGGTTGCAAAGTGGCCAGTAAGATTTCTTCCTCCAAAAAAAAAAAACATTAAGGACAAAAACTGTATGAAAGAATAAAAGAATCGCAGTCTAGAGAGAGGTGTTGAAAGCCTATTCTCTCATCTACCCATATGATTTTTATGTGATCCAAGTCTAAAGGATTCACTAATCTTTTTTTAATGCAAAAAGGATTCGCTAATCATCTAAATAGATTTCAATGTACAGAACAGGAAATGTATATAGCAACTTTTAATGTTCAGAGAAGTTCATATGTATATATATACCATAGTTACTTTATTTACGCATGTTTTTCAGTGTGTGCCGTTATAGCTGTTTTGATTTTCTGGGACTGATCCATTCACTCATGAAACAAGGACGGATGATTGAGCAAGGATTCAAATGGACCATGGTGGAAACCCAACAACAGAGGGAAAATAGAGTGGAGCATTGTTTTTTTTTTTCCATACTTCCTTTCCCTCTTCATTTCAACCATTGGAGCTGGACAGTGCTTACAGCCTGTCTTCCTGTGCCAATTCATGTTGCGAAATGCCAATGTTGGTCCAACATCAGCCCCACAGAAAATGTGGTCTGTCCTACCCAAAGATGCAACTGAAAAATGACAGCAATTTTGTATAATGAGGTTAGTCATCCCGTAATGTTGAAGCATAATGTGCACGTAATAGATGTAACCCAAACAACATCCTTGTGTAATTGTTTGCCTCCAACAATTGAGACATGACAGGCTCATACATTATTTAGATGTCTGAATCGATAGATTATTCAAAAGAAAAGAATCAACCTGCCATAGAGATGGACAGCAAACTCACAAGCAACTGGACTGGCATGATTCTTCTTGTCTGCTGATTCAATTGTGTATTGCTTCTACTTCTTTCATTATATATAGAGAGAACCCCAAGGAGAGTAGACACCATTAGAGCACCATTCCTCTCCCCTCCTCTACAAAGAAGACAACACTGCATTTTTCGCTCCAAGCACGGCTTGCCATATAAGATCTGCAAGTGCGCCTTCTAGCCCTCGCTCCAAGGAAACCAGCGTTGAGGATCAGTCGCAGATCATTAAGGAAACCATCCCTTTAGCCACCGCGGCCATTCGAGCAATGCATGATGTTTTGAGAAGGCTTGGAAGTGTGTGCAACAACACGTAGGAGATCATGTGCTTGACTAGCAACCAAGTCAGCCTGTGCCAACCAAAGCAGACGAAAGCAGTGGAGGACGAGCTTGAGCACTCTCTCCTGTTGCTTGATCTCTTCAGTGCCATGCAAGAGAGCAAGGACGAGCATTCAGGAGGTGCAATTGATTATCAAAAGGGGAGACATTACAGCAGTTGAAGCCAAGATTCAGTTTCGATCCTAAATCTGCTTTGCAAAGAAGATGCAGAGAGCTGCAGGAGGTTCAAGAAGATTAACAATAAGTCTACTTCAGCTAACCAGGAGAGCTGCAGGGTGGTCAAGATGTTGGGTGAAGCTAGAGATATTGCTGTCTCAATTCTCGAGTCCTCGTCACATTTCCTATCAAAGCAGATTGCAGCAAAGTTCTAGCAAGTGGCCTTTCATCCACAAGACATTCCTAAAGAGAAGAGTTCTATGTGAAGTGGATCAATTACAAGCCTAAAGCCTTGGAGTTGGACATTGTTTATCTAGAGGGTAGATTTGGGACTTTGTCAAAAAAATTGATCCAAAGCAGAGTTTCTCTTCTCAACACTCTCAGCTTGTAGATAGATGTACCAACTGAGCCCCTTTGGCATCTGCCTTTTAGATGATCAGCTGATCACTGTATATGAGAAGTATTGTACAAAAAAACAGTCACTTGAAAACAGAAACATAATTTTGAACTACTTCTTGTTTTACTGTTATAAATCATATGATATAATGACCCAATTGTATAGCATCCACCCAGAAAATTATTTAATAAGAAAAAATGGTGCTCCAAAGATGCTCAATACCGGTGACTGTTATTGAAGTAGTTAGGGCGCGTTGTTCAAGTTGATTATTACATGGCTTTATTACGAGATGCCCACGTTGCTGAGATGCAATATGTTGCCTCAACAACAAGCAGCAGATCCTTGTCCAATGGATCTTGCTAACTACTACTAAAGCAAGCCAGCTCCAACGCACGAGGTAGAGCGTGTAAGTAGCACGAGTTGTGTAGAATAAAATACCTACTGGCATTTACGACTGGGCAACAACTACATAACACGTACTTCACCAATAATACTTGGTTAGTGATCACTAAACTAATCTCTGGAGCATGCAATTGGGTCAAGATTGGTCAGTAGAGTAACTAACCTGTTGATTCGTGTTGCCAATAGTTGGAGCATGACAATGTGATAGATCACTGGGAGAATAGCTGGCGCACTAAAAAATTGGTAAACACACGCGGCGTGATGAAGGCAACAGATTCCTTATGCTGCTGCCAGATCTCAAACCTTGATAGACAACATTGAGCTGATGAAATGGCAGGATTCTCTTTGTCTACCATTCAAAAGATGTTGCCTCATACCCTCTCTCTATAAATAGGTCTAGGCAGAGACTTGAATCATCAGGAAAAAATTTTACCTTCTCATTTCTTCCACCTCATTTCAATACGCAAAAAGTTTCAGCCACAGACTACAGATCGATATGGCTTGCCATCTTAGGTCGATAAGCTTGCCGTCTAGGCGTCAGTCCAGCGAAGCTGCAGTGCAACAAGAGTTGTGTATTCTAGAGGCGATCATCTCCTCACCATCCACATGTATTGTCACGATGTGTGACGGTTTGAGGAGGCTTGGAGACATCTACAATAGTGTTGAGGAGATGACTCACTTGCCAAGCAACCAAGTTTGCTCTTCCGAGCAAACGAAAATGCTTGATGGAGAAATTGAGTCTTCTCTCGAGCTGCTGGATCTCTGCAACACCATGCAAGAGATCTTTGTTGAGTTGAAGGCCATTATGCAAGAGCTGCAAGTGGCTCTAAGAAAAGGAGATGGTGCAACCGTTCAAGCCAAGATCCAGTCTTACAGCCGCTTGGTGAAGAAGGCTAAACAGTCTTTCAAGAAGGCAAGCAAGAAGGCCACTTCTGACAAGACAGACTGTGCAATGATCAGGCTACTGACCAAGGCCAGGGAGATTGCCATCTCTCTACTTGAGTCCACGGTGCAGCTCCTGTCAAAGCAAATTGAAGTGCCCAAGCAGTCACTTGTCTCAAAGGCATTTTCCAAGAGAAAAGCAGTTGTTTGCGAGGAGGACCAACTACAGGCGTTAGAGTGCAGCATTGGAGATCTTGAGAGTGGAGCAGGACACCTGTTCAGGATATTGGTCCAGAGCAGGGTTTCTCTCCTAAACATCCTTAGCTCATAGATACTCCTTGTTGCTTTTGACATCCTGTGATTGGCATCTGCGTTTTTGAGGATTAGCTAATCTTGATGCAGTTTTCTAGTATGTATAGAGTACAAATGTACAGAAAAAATTCAGAAAAAAAAAAAAGACACTTTTGATGCAATTCATGTTTGTTGATGTGATTTTGTGCATTCAATATGGATTGCTTTGTTTTCAGATCCTTATTCAGTGGATCTTGCCCTGCGTACAAGAAGCATGCCAGATCACAGCCACAATGGTTAAGCTGAGATAGCAGAATAAATTAATCATCTAGATTCCCCTACCACGTTTGTGTAGTATAGCACTGCCATTGAACAATTCTTGTTTTGCAATGGATGTAGATTCCTAACCATGTATTGAAAAAACTAATGGCCTTAACTGCCAGATCATTTTGTGAGCATGTTACTGTGTATTCCATGTAGGCATTCCTTTCAAGAGTACACCTGGGCTGCGTCCGTTCCATCGTGAGAGTTGAGACTAAATATACATCTAGATGTTAAGATAATTAATAAATTTTGCAAATCCCTAAGCCCCAAAGATAACCAAAACTATCGAAAAG